CCAAGTCAGCGAGTCTGACCATCCTGTTAGTCGCCTCTTACGACAAGCCTGGGTTGCTGAATTTCAACCTATTCTACCCCGGATCTTCACGGGTCTTAAAAGTTGAGAAAAAGATTGTGCTGGTCATATAAATTAGTATACTTCTTGGTATCAATAACATTGGAATCTGGTCAAGTCCATGGAATCATCAGTCCTGCTTCTTCATCCTCTCATCATCAGGATCATCATCATGATTCAATGTCTTCATCATCACATCCCCAATAAAGCTAAATACTTGTCCATATCATATCAAACAGCCTCCTCCAAGCTGAAACATTGCACCTCACAAGCCATCTGCAACATGCCATCACACACGTGATGTGTTGATCTACACGCTAACCTGCACTGTACTGACCAACTGCACATGCCCTCACACACCTGATGTGTTGATCTACACGCTAACCTGCACTGTACTGACCAACTGCACATGCCCTCACACACCTGATGTGTTGATCTACACGCTAACCTGCACTGTACTGACCAACTGCACATGCCCTCACACACGTGATGCGTTGATCTACACGCTAACCTGCACTGTACTGACCAACTGCACATGCCCTCACACACCTGATGTGTTGATCTACACGCTAACCTGCACTGTACTGAACAACTGCACATGCCCTCATACACCTGATGCGTTGATCTACACGCTAACCTGCACTGTACTGACCAACTGCACATGCCCTCACACATCTGATGTGTTGATCTACACGCTAACCTGCACTGTACTGACCAACTGCACATGCCCTCACACACCTGATGTGTTGATCTACACGCTAACCTGCACTGTACTGAACAACTGCACATGCCCTCATACACCTGATGCGTTGATCTACACGCTAACCTGCACTGTACTGACCAACTGCACATGCCCTCACACACCTGATGTGTTGATCTACACGCTAACCTGCACTGTACTGACCAACTGCACATGCCCTCACACACCTGATGTGTTGATCTACACGCTTACCTGCACTGTACTGACCAACTGCACATGCCCTCACACACCTGATGCGTTGATCTACACACTAACCTGCACTGTACTAACCAACTGCACATGCCCTCACACACCTGATGCGTTATCATCACTCAGCTGAAGACATCCCATGAATGCACCTAACATACAAGCGGGAAGTATGCTGCAACTGAAGCATTCGGTGTAATCGTCCTTCCTGCACGGTACGTAACACTGACACACTACCATTACCTGAAGAGCTACACAAGCACCTGCATTCCTGGCATGCTACCATCACCTGTAGAGCTTCATCCCTGACATGCTACCATCACCTGTAGAGCTACATCCCTGACATGCTACCATCACCTGTAGAGCTACATCCCTGACATGCTACCATCACCTGTAGAGCTACATCCCTGACATGCTACCATCACCTGATGAGCTACATCCCTGACATGCTACCATCACCTGTAGAGCTACATCCCTGACATGCTACCATCACCTGTAGAGCTACATCCCTGACATGCTACCATCACCTGTAGAGCTACATCCCTGACATGCTACCATCACCTGTATAGCTACATCCCTGACATGCTACCATCACCTGTAGAGCTACATCCCTGACATGCTACCATCACCTGTAGAGCTACATCCCTGACATGCTACCATCACCTGTAGAGCTACATCCCTGACATGCTACCATCACCTGTAGAGCTACATCCCTGACATGCTACCATCACCTGTAGAGCTACATCCCTGACATGCTACCATCACCTGTATAGCTACACCCGAAATGCTATCATCACCCATAGAACTTCATCCCTTGCATGTTATAGTATACGACGACAACCATCAACCAAATCACCAAGCCTGGAAAGCTGTTCCCGTTAGTTGCCTCTTACAACCAACATAGCGGCCTATTCTAACCTGGAATCTCCACCAGGTCCACAAGTCTAGAAGAAAGTCTTTGGGCTCCTTTTTATCATATTTTATAACTATAAATTTACAACTGTTTTTTCTGTTAAATATGTTCCTTTCAGAGACTAGATGTTAGTCTAACACCTCGATCACATTTGAGTCTAACAAGCCAGTTAGCTTTACACATTCATCCTGTGACCTTTTGGGCAAAGGTTAAACTTCCAGCTCTTGCTGATTGACATGATTGATGCTCCAATTTTTTTTTTTTCTGTTTATGGGTCAGCCAACAGTGTTGTTTTGCTCATTGGCTTATGTTTTTTTACTATTTTGAAAAAAATTGATGAAGAACCCCTCAAAAGGGTTATAACATTATCTGGAAAATTAGAACCTTGTTGATCTTACCAAATTGGTGACATGTATTAATTGTCATCGATCTCAATTGCGTGGATTGTCTGGTCCAAACTCTATTATTTACAGACCGCCATCATCTAGCTGGAATACTGCTGAGTGGGCATTAAACAACAAACAAACATGTTTAATACCAACAGCTAACAAACCAGAGAACACGAGTGATAATCTTTAATTGATTTCTTCTTTTGTTAACATCTTTCCCAGTCACTGAGTAACACCTCATAAAGTAGAACTTTTTATTAGTCAAAGGCCTTTCACATCAGAAGGACCGCCCTAGGCAGTGACAAGGATATCTATTACAGCAGTGTTCAGCCGTTATCTCCCACTGGATAAGTCTAGATGTACACAAGCATGACTCAAGGACAAAAATAGACCTGGGTTCATATAGCGTACTGCCCACTAGTGAGTAACCGACAGCTAGAAATGCAACCTCATTCTTTTCAGACTAGTCATTGAATTTGTTTACCATGTTTCCACTAATAATGGGTTGACAAAAACTTCTACACAAAGTCATTGACTAAAGTCAAAATAGTGCAGTTTAACCTTTGTATGTACAATTGCTTTTTGGTCAACATGTAAGTTTGAATTCGGGTAAAAAAACGAACTTGATTTTTTTCTTTTTTAGGGTCATAGGAATCCATATAAAAAAATATTTAAATCTCGCCTAAATTTTATTGGTAAATACAATTATAAGGTTCTCATTGTTTTTTATTTGAACAGGTGACAGATCCAAACTGTTCAGATAAGATTTAGACTTGCAGGGTCACATAAATGTGTGTCCAGTACATGATGCAGAAATGTGTGTCCAGTACATGACGCAGAAATGTGTGTCCAGTACATGATGCAGAAATGTGTGTCCAGTACATGATGCAGAAATGTGTGTCCAGTACATGCTGCAGAAATGTGTGTCCAGTACATGACGCAGAAATGTGTGTCCAGTACATGATGCAGAAATGTGTGTCCAGTACATGACGCAGAAATGTGTGTCCGGTACATGATGCAGAAATGTGTGTCCAGTACATGACGCAGAAATGTGTGTCCAGTACATGATGCAGAAATGTGTGTCCAGTACATGATGCAGAAATGTGTGTCCGGTACATGACGCAGAAATGTGTGTCCAGTACATGCTGCAGAAATGTGTGTCCAGTACATGACGCAGAAATGTGTGTCCAGTACATGATGCAGAAATGTGTGTTCAGTACATGATGCAGAAATGTGTGTCCAGTACATGACGCAGAAATGTGTGTCCAGTACATGCTGCAGAAATGTGTGTCCGGTACATGATGCAGAAATGTGTGTCCGGTACATGATGCAGAAATGTGTGTCCAGTACATGATGCAGAAATGTGTGTCCAGTACATGATGCAGAAATGTGTGTCCGGTACATGATGCAGAAATGTGTGTCCAGTACATGATGCAGAAATGTGTGTTCAGTACATGATGCAGAAATGTGTGTCCAGTACATGATGCAGAAATGTGTGTCCAGTACATGACGCAGAAATGTGTGTCCAGTACATGACGCAGAAATGTGTGTCCGGTACATGATGCAGAAATGTGTGTCCGGTATATGACGCAGAAATGTGCATCCAGTACACACAAAGGCATAGTATGGACGCAAAAAATATATATATATATTGCGTCCCAAGGGACACACAACAATATTCATTGTACAAAATTCTTGACAAGAAAAATATTGCTCCTGTAGTAAAAGTAAGTATTATATCTTACAGTACACGACACCACGTCCTTACTTTACAGGACCCTCATATTTCCTGTAAGGACCTTGAAAATAGTAATTAGACTCCTCTGGATCCATAGTTTTGTAGGTCAAGGCAAAACCCAAGTCATCCGACTTTATACTTGTTGTTTCATCACAAGCCTGTGATGTTTGGATGATATTTTTTAACATTATCCAATAAATTGCGGTTGTCATGATAGAATATGATTTATCACAAATCATGTAAAAAAAAACAGATATGAAACATTAAAACCTGAAACATATAATGAAGTGTTTCAAGGGAGAATCTTTTTTAGGCTGTCGTCAACAATGTTCCCGCCAAATATTAGTAGCCTTGAATAATGGAGACTTGGTGAGACAAGCCCTATGATTATGAACACACTGCGGAAGCCTGTGAGGCACTAGATAGTTAACAGTCACATTACCATCTCATCCTACCAGGTACCCATTCATTGGTGAACAGGGAAATATTTTGAACAAAATCACTTGACTAGGAGACACCACTTGTGCTGCATGTGCTTCAGCGTGGAGCAGGACCGAAGCCCTAGAAACTCCCAGGAGTCAAGCTTCCAACACGGTCACCCATCCGACACTGCGACCAACGCTGCCTAACTTTACCTCATTTGAGACCTGTTCACTGTACACATGACCTGTTCACTGTACACATGACCTGTTCACTGTACACATGACCACGTACCACCACTTACTGAGAGACCTGTATACTGTAGGGTCAGATAATACTTATAACTCAAAGCATAACACATTTTATCGAAACACATCAACCGACAGCAAATAATCAAGCATCTGAACCTGCAATAATAGGATTCTGGTACACCTAAGGGAGGCAACTCTGCACAGCACCTTAGATACTGGACCATCCATTCCCTTCCTATCTTAAAACACTCAAATGAAGGAGAATGTGTATATTAAACATTCTTACCTAAATTCTGCCGTGGCTTGAAAAGATTCTTGCTCCGTGATAGAAAAGACACAGAGAAAACCTTCCCCACTACGAAAGTAATTATCCCGAATTGCTGCGTAGTCCTCCTGTCCGGCAGTGTCTAGGATGTCAATCTGCACCTCCTCTCCATCCAGGACTACCTTCTTTCGATACGAGTCGGCTTTTGTCGGTTCGTAATCCTCTACAAACTGAAGCAAAGAAAGCATCAAGACTTTGAGTAAAACAGCTTCTGAATCTATCACTAGAGTAAAGTGTGAGACGAATTTCTGCAATATTCCAGCCATTATTACACTTGGAGGACACGAGTCTTCACATCAAAACAGTAACATTTTAAATTTGACCAGCCTAGTAAGCACCTTCTTGACTGGAGCTGTCATTATCATTCCTTCATTACAACACCTCTTTCCACATAATGGAAGCAAACTTCAAATCACGTCCATGAAGACTTTCATCATCAGTTTTAATTGGATACACAGGAAAATCTCATATTTCTGATTTGTATACAATTTTCTTTGAAGTCAAAACAGTGCTATTGACAATATCTAAAATTAATTATGTAAATTGAAAACTAAAACCTTATTTGTCGCCCTGAATCTTAAATTACCTCTAAGAGAAACATATCCAATTAAACGTGGAATGCCTTACAATGCATATTGAGGTATTTTAACATTGTATTTTGAGTTTGCATTCAATATAAAACAAAGCATTAAAACCTCTTTCTATTTATTGGTCTCTTATTAATAAACCACTAAGTTATAATTTTAATTAGGTTTTAGTTATATATATATTAACATGAATACTGAATTTTAAAATTTCAATTTGGGAATTTTTAATGACATTTCTGTTGATGTTGAGCAGAATATCATCCCTGAGCAGTCTGAATAAACCTGTACCTTCACTCTGATCTTCACAACTGTAGTATTTCAATGACAAAATTCAACTCTTACCTCATCATACATAAACTGTAATGTTAATGCTGACTTTCCCACGCCTCCACTTCCAACCATGATGACTTTATGTATCACCGCCGGTTGCTGCGTTTTAGCCTTCGACATGATGTCTCGATTGTCCCGGGTTTTCTTTGGCCAACAGCTAAACATGGTGAAAAGGGGAGGAAAATTAGACTTGTGAAACGTATGCAGGTCCGGACAAACAGACAGACCTCAGAGAACACGAGACAGCCCTACTGTGACAAATCCAGCATGATCTAATACACATTCTAGTATAAATAATGAGATAATTTTAGCTCTGCCGGTAGAGGCTATCTTCCTGCAACTGGTTGTCACTGTGAGAACAACGTAGAGATGGTGCTAGACCTTTGGAGAAAATCAATAATGTGCAAAGCAACAATGCCAATATCTTTCTTCCACATATAGGTTCAGTCAAAAAGTGCCAGATCGGCACTTCTGCAGAGTACAGAGCACTATTTCTGGAACCAGTAGCTATGACATAAGGCCTTGGGGTTATGGCACAACCAATGATCTTGAACATGTTGAAGAAATGGCTGTATTATAATTAGCCAATTCATAATATCTGTACAAAGAGCATCAATGGATAGCAAGGATTTTCGTGAATGACAGCAAACTGATCATTTATACAATACTGGAACATTCAATTTTACAGAAAAAAAAAAAAAATATTAATTTCATATTACATTAGCCAATTCATAACATCTGTACAAAGAGCATCAATGGATAGCAAGGATTTTCGTGAATGACAGCAAACTGATCATTTATACAATACTGGAACATTCAATTTTACAGAAAAAAATAAATAAATATTAATTTCATATTACATTCAAAATAGTAGTCATAACATAAAGAGAAAACAAACATGGCATATATCTACAGTATCAAAAAATGTAACCCAAGATGCAAAACAGCCATTTTGTTTGAAATGTTGCCCAACTAGAGCTATGAATTTCCAATATGGTTCCATTTGGATACAGCATGAATCATTGAATCATTGAATCATTATTGATTTTATATGTGAGTCACAGGAGAGACTATCATTGCAACAGCAGCGACAGTAACAACATACAACACAGGCTTCATCAAAATAGGCAATGTTGCAGTTGTTATTGTTGCTTCTTGTCATCAGTGTCAGGCAGTGTTAAAAGTTTGAGTTTGAACCAAGCATGAAAGTCCTTCTCATGACCCCAATGTAACAGTTAAAGATGTTTTCATGAGATTCAAATTCTACAGTATCAAACCTCAACATGCTTAAGGACACACCCCCCCCCCCTTAATTTGAGCCCTGCATTACCCTGAAGACATCCTAATTTTGAAACGTGAATGTTACAGGTTGAGTGAGTGAGTGAGTGTGTTTGGTTTTACGCCGCTTTTAGCAATATTCCAGCAATATCACGGCAGGGGACACCAAAAATGGGCTTCACACATTGTACCCATGTGGGGAATCAAACCTGAGTCTTCGGCGTGACGAGCGAACGCTTTAACCACTAGTCTACCCGACCGCCGCTGTTACAGGTTGAGGGGACCCTAGTTTCAAGTATTATTGGAGCACATCCTCAAAATCCCTCGGAAGTCTGAACACTGTTGTAGCCAGTTAGTAATAAAATCGTTGATCCTTGTGCGGTTGGGCAAAGTATTTAATTACAATATCGTTAAATTATCATCATGATCATGATCATGATCACAAATCTATAACGCTACAACAAACATCAGGCCAGGGCAATAAACAGAGATTATTAGCCAGTTAGCTTGGCGAGTTTCAGTGTCATTAATATCATATTTTGTGAATACATATGTATCCTGTTAGTCACCTCTTCCGACAAGCATAGTCACCTATTTCGACAAGCATGGGTTGCTGAAGACCGATCTACCTCGGATCTTCACTGGTCAATATGTGGATCTAGAAGAATGTGTAACACAGTGTTAGGGTCATTGGAAGGGCCCATTGATTTTCAGCCTTAATTTCAAACACTGATCAGCATTCATAATTAAAGTGGGTCCAGGGGTCACTGTGGTCTGCCTCTATAGTATTTGGATCTCGAGACCCCATAAATCTGCAATTTTTAACATCAGAGTTCACACTCCCCCACATCGAATTTCATTCTGAATTCCATCTACTGCTAATGGTAAACAAGATTAACATTATCATGTGACCAGAGAGCAGAAATTTGAATCAAATGATTCCAGTCAAACCATTTTTTTCTTTTTCGGTTTAACACCACACTCAGCAATATTCCAGCTATATCACAGCGGTCTGTAAATAATCATGTCTGGACCAGACAATCCAGTGATTGACATCATGCGCATCAATCTGCAACAATCTTGGAATGGTAGACAAACTTAACCTCAAGGTCACGGCATGTGTGCAGGGGCTTTGCTATTGTGTGACAGTAGCCGACTTTAAACCATCAATTCATATTTCAAGGAGTGAGTGAGTGAGGTTTAAATTCTTTGGGAAGTTTTTCAGTTACATCATGGCATGGCAGCTTAATGTAAGAGGAAGAGGACAATGATCCAGGTTTCAGATGTTTCCCTCTTTGGCTTAACCTACTGACCTACCAGCGAACAGAGAAAAATTGAGATTCAAACCCATGGTTATAGAAAAGGGTGTGTCACATGGAAGTCATTCCAACAGCAACTCCATGTTTGTTTGTTGTTTAACGCCGCACTCAGCAATATTCCAGCTATGTGATGGCGGTCTGTAAATAATCAAGTCTGGACCAGACAATCCAGTGACTGACATCATGAGCATCGACCTACACAATTGGGATATGATGACATGCATCAACCAAGTCAGCCAGCCTAACCACCCAATCCCATTAGTCTCTCTCACAGCAAGCATAGTCTCCTTTTACGGCAAACATGGGTTTTGCAGATAATTAAAACTAACATGTCATAACAGCCTTATAAGTTATATTTAATACGTCGATAAATAAAGTGGATGAAATTTGGCAAATGCTTTTTAATTATGGGTATATAAAGATCAATGTACGTCAGGTAAACATTGTCAGAATGCATTGACCCTCACGTCAGATTTTGTTCTTTTAAGGGATTTCTGATGTTCATGATCAAACTTTACTGGCATCGTCTTGTATACAAATATTTAATAAATGATTGAATGTTCAAAACAAACATTCCAAAGAACACTTTTCCCCCATAGTCATTATGGAGTGTATGGGACAAGATGACCAATTAATCATCACTATTAATCAATCATCAGAACATTACTAACAGGTGCTCGTGTTCAAAACAGGTCATGGGGTCCTTGTCATTGCCCTATTAAATGTGATAAGTTAAAGATTTAGGGATCCGTATACTCAAATACTATGGGAGCAAACCTCAAGGACCCCAGTGAGTGAGTGAGTGAGTGAGTGAGTATGGTTTTACGCCGCTTTTAGCAATATTCCAGCAATATCACGGCGGGGGACACCAGAAATGGGCTTCACACATTGTACTCATGTCGGGAATCGAACCCGGGTCTTCGGCGTGACGAGCAAATGCTTTAACCACTAGGCTACCCGAACGCCCCCAAGGACCCCAGTGAGTGAGTATTGTTTTACGCCGCTTTAAGCAATATTCCAGCAACATCACGATGGGGGACACCAGAAAATGGGCTTCACAAATTGTAACCATGTAGGGAATCGAAGCCGGGTCTTTGGTGTGACGAATGAATACTTTTAACCACGAGGCTACCCAACCGCCCTTCAAGGACCCCAGGATCCCCCTTACTTAACCTTTAGCCTGCTGAATTATTTTCACACTTCTTACCCCTGCCTGCTGGATTAATTTTAGCATAAGGCGCTCTAAAGAGGGTGGGTGATTTCAAACAGTTGGTGCGTCATTAAACAAGGGCCAATTGAAGAAATATTTTGCACATTTATTCCTGATAGAAAACTACACAATACTATATAAAAATATCCTGATGTTTTCAATCATACCAAGGTTAAGACCAAAGCGAACACAAAATTTGTAAATTTTCTTGAACTTACCTGAATTGCGTTATTGAAGGTGGTTTGCATTTCATGCTAGGAACCTTTTAATATCGTAACATTTGTGCAAATTGATTTCAATAATCATATCTCCGATATCTTAATTTTAATTGAGTAAAAATTCGGGTTTTATAATCGGCATATATCAGCGCGATGGTAAATTATGAACCATTTCAGTGAATTTATTATCTAAACGTTAAACAGAAAAATAACTTAATTTTCGAGGTCATCATGTCGGTTGCAGAAATACGAATATTCGGGTTAATCTGACGTGTCATGTTATAAAATTTGCAGGAAACAATTAATGACTTATAAATATTCACTAATCCTAATTTCAAGCGTTTTGGTTGAATATTTACGATATACAAAAATAAACAACCCATGTCGTGATGCTAGCAGACGTCCTAAAATCAAACATGGCGCGCTTCGCCCGACCTCCGCATAACTTATTGCTATTTTAATATCAACAAAGTTTACATTGCCTTTATAAATATAACTTGGCGAAAGTTGACGATCTTCTCAATCGAAGAATGTTTTCTTCGTCATATTCCAATAAATATGACGAGAGAAAAATGAAAATAAAGATCGTGAATTCTGACAGCACTATTTCAGTAAGTGCAAAGGTCACCGGATGTGATGTCACAGACAGGGGTAGTCTGCTGATAAGCTTTCGAAACAAAACAATTACAGTAAATTTTGAAATAGTTCGCCTATCACATAGAGCAAAAATATAAGTCGATACACAGTATCAGTAATCACCACTAACATGAAATAAATATGTGACTTTGACGATATAATTCACGTATTAGTTAATCCGTTTGACCTTGCATGCTCCCGTGACCCGGAAACGGTAGACGATAAATCAACATGCCACATGCAAGTTTCTCGGTATCTTTTATTTGAACTTCTGTTGATATTTAAGAATCACCATTCAATGTTGTGAATATAAATGGGACATAATTCATATTTCTGCGATGTACACGCTGATAAGTTTCACTACAACAAGTGTATCCCACGTAATACGACTATGGATATCGTCGATCAGCAAGATCACCCTCAACAACAGGTGCGCGAAAATGGGCTTGACAAAACTTGTTTCAAAATAACATACCCACGTTGCTGAATATGATAG